TTCCTCATATATTGGTTTTGTTAAAAACTACTAAAAGTGTGATAAATCAATAACTAAAAGCGTCAAAGACATTAAATTTACATCCGGGATGACACAAAAGGGCTTTATAAAAGCCGGTGTCAGAATTGGTTGTCAAAAGTAGCACCGCCCACCTTTGAATGAAATCACATATCTCCGGACCTATTCGAACAATTTCCACCGAAATCGGACAACAACCACGCCTCCCATAACACAACATTAAATTTCATCTAATCCTTTCACTTTCCAGTATACAAATCAAGCAACAATGAATACATCGGGATAAAACTTTGCACAAATAGTACCTTTAATGTATGCCATCTCAAGCCTATCCTTAGCCTCCATATATCTTATATACATAGAAAGATTTTCAAACTTCCTTGTTTTCTTAATAACGGTGCATCTGTGTGCCAAAAATAGCTAAAATTGAGTGAAACTTACTCTAGACCCCATATAACTAATATCAGGATTTTCAAACATCAGGTTGACTTTACACAGGTATATTAATGAAACTCAGAGAGCCTTTCTCTCTGGTAATAATATATCGTCATGCTAAAAATTGATAAAATCGGACCAATACTACCCTGAGCTCCCATACACCTAATAAAAGAATTTCTAATTTCTGGTTTGCTGATCCAAAAGGCTGCAATAATATTCAGAGTTAATTGTTTTAACTGATGACATTTCCTATTTTGCTGATCGTTGTGACTTCACCTTTGCTTTGGAGCTGAAAAACCAGCTTCCATCCACTGTAAACGTTCCTATTTCAATTTAGGATCATGGTGGTAGATCCAGGTCTCATCCATCCTTATAAAACTTCGCAAAAAATCCGTTATATTATGCTTGAAACGTTCCAAATTATGCTGAGAAATTTGTTTTCTTTTCCTGCTTTTTCATTTGTAATTCTCCATGTAAAGTATGAAATACTCGTTCTTCTGAGCTGCGTATAGCATTAGCATCTTCACTGACAATATTATGAACATGCTCAATGATTTCTGGTGTGGTTGTGGTTTTGGTTGTCCTTCGCGTGGATCGTCTTCAAGCTTAGTAAGACAACGTTTAAATTCCAGCTCAAAATTCAACTGTGCCTTTTGGAGGTGAGGACTCCTTAAACACTTCGAACAATTGTTCATAAATTTCCTTCGTTTTTAAATCTTTTGAAACAAAGAATCGAATGACTGCGGGATTTTCAATTTTTTCCACGTTAAAAAAATTTTCTGACACGTCAACTGGCTTGTAAACAAAGAATTAAATGACAGAATGACTTGTAGCTTTGTCTGTGTTCTTACGACAGATGTACCAACTTGAAAAAAAAAATTTTGGAGCTAGTAGTGCTATTTCTTGGTGTAAGCAGAAACTTTTCAACCAACCTGTATATTTATATAAGATAAGATTTATTTTTAGAATACATAGTTTGGCAAGTTACTTTCAAAAGATTTATTGTTTTACTTGGCAATAATCATTGAGTCCTTCTACATATATGTAATTTTATAAAATTTATCTAATCTTCCAGATTACCTTTTTACTTACCAGTATGTATGGTGATGCCAAGATATTTGTTTTATGAACCAATCTTCTTTTGTCTCTATATCGTTTACCGCTTACCTGTCACTTTTTTTTTAAATTTATTTAATATGAAAATGGAATACTATATATTCTTGACCTGTTGTTCAGAGTACCATCGCTTTCCCCCCCTGTTATTTTAAACAAACACAAAAACATATGTACTGCGTAAATATGGAAAATTTCGCAAATATTGTAAATATAAAATTTTCTCAGTGCGCTGAATTATGTGTTTTCGATGATTTGGCTACAAAAACCAATTGCACTGGTCCTTGGATGACCGGTATATCGCAGCAACCATGCGATAACAACAAGCCAATGCGTGCCTTAATAAAGGATTACGAAATGTAAGAAGACAAAACAACTGACGTTTTCACAACAAGTTTTAAATTTAATTTTATTATTTAGCTACTATGAAAGTGACGAAGATATTGAATGCGATTGCAAACGTCCTTGTAATGAGCGTATTTATTCGACATTAATACAAAGCAGAACACAACTTAATTCGGGTCAGCAATATACCCAAGTATGGATTTATTATTCCACAAAATTAGTTTCGGTAAAATTAAAATCGGCAAAAAATTTCATAAATAATAAAAAAAGTTATATGTACAATTCGTGTTCTTTTCGGCAGATGGTGGAAGAACGTCCGAGCTATGACACTACACAATTTATAGCTGACATTGGTGGCTCATTGGGTTTTTTACTAGGTCTCTCTGTCCTAGGATTAATCGGCATATTGGAACATGTTAGTAATTACTTAACTTTATTTATAAAGTTTATTTCTATGCCCTAACTTACCCTATAGCTTACCTTATTTTTCTGCGGAGGATTAGTAAAAACGCAATTAAAACACGAGAATCAGTTACAAGACGAAGCAGATCGTCAATCCCAAAAAAGTGTGCAACTGAAATAAAAGATACAACTCTTTAAATATTAACAATATCCAAAGAGAAGAAAACATATATGGACGAATAAACTCTTGCATGACTTAAGAAGACTAGGCAGCATATAAATTGTTATCAAATTTATTTTCATTTCTCTGCATCTCTAATAAAACGACATGAATTAATAAAACGCAATTTTGCTTTTTCATTCTTAGTAATCCAACTTGACACGGAATAATAATAATAATAATAACCCAACGATTACCCTCCTCCCGCCCAACCGACGCGAGGGGCGCAATCCGCATACGTGCGGAATTAGGCAAGTCAAAAAAGGCAAGAGAGTTTTTCAAGTGTTGAGATCTAAAACTGCTCAGCTTCAGAAACAAAAATTTCAACAGCTAACATTTATAGCTACGATATAATAAATTTTTACATGTTCATTTATTAAGAGAAAACAATAAAATCTTTTTAATTTTGAAAAGTGAGTCAGATATCAGTCAGATTGTAGATCCAATGTGCTGGAATGAGAATTAAAATCATGACATATACGGTGGAATGGTTCGTTTAGTTCAAAATTTGATCTACAGGATTTTAACAGTGAAGGTGTAAACTGCCTCGAAAAGCGAACCGGGATATTAAATTTAATTTCAGACAGGAGAAAAGAACTGCAAACTGTTCCATTCAAGGTTTTCACTAAGAATATTATGTCAACAATTTCCCTACGACTAGAAAGTGTAGGTAGATTAATAAGTCTTAAACGAATAGTGTATGGTGGTAGACTTACCTTAGAATCCCATCGGAAATGCGCTAAGGCGAAACGTAAAAATTGTTTTTGAACAGACTCTAACTTTTCAGAATGGATTTGGTAGCTAGGGTTCCATACAACAGAGCCATATTCCAATATAGATCTAACAAGTGTATAAAGTGTTTAGTAATATACGGATCTCTATTGTGTTCTATTATAGAGATAGGAAGCCACTTGAAGAAATATTGGTTTGAAAGCCAGCAGATCAAGCTTATGTATGAGAATGGAGATTTACTTTATCGAAGTTTGCTAAACTCGTGTATATAACATCCGTATGCTTATGTTCCTAAACCCAATGATACATGGTTTATAAATTCAGGCCATTTTTAAGACTCGATTTCCCTTTACGAAATCGGAAAGGCTATATGGTCAGTGATGATAGCTTCAAAAAGTTTAGGTATAACTAATGGTTTTGCGATACCTGTATAGTTTTCAATGTTGGATCTAAATCCACTTTTATGCAAAGGAATTATAAATGACTGTTTCCATATTGAAGGAAATATACCGTGTTTAAGAGAGGAATTAAATATCCTTGTCAAAGGCAAGTAAATATATTTGCACTATTTTTTAGAGCATGAAGGTATCCTGTCCTTTGCCGTAACTAAAGATAATAAATAGGAGGAATTCTTCAGAAATAATTGGAGCGTTAATTAAAGTATTCGAACACGGCACGTGCTGATAAGAAAAAGTTTGGAAGAATTGTTACAGTAGTTTGACTTGAAAAATTATGCAAGATATTGGATATAATACCATTGTCACTGAATGATGATTTGTATTTCTAGCGGACAGAAATTTGGAAATACGTTTTGGAGTTGACGAAATGAAATTAAATTGGAACTGTTTAAATACAAGTCGGTTAGTTTTTGTATTAAGACCTCTAACATTTGATAATAAATGCTTAGCAATTTCTAC